ACTCGCGAGACGGACGCGTACTCCGAGATCGGTACCACACGACGCCCAACGCGACACATCACTCGCGAGACGGACGCGTACTCCGAGATCGGTGCGTATCCCAGGCCGGACGCGTTAACCTCGTATTCGCGCGACGACGCGGCACTTCGCGAGGCACCGCCGGGATCCTTTCGCGCGTCACCGTTGACTCGACGCACACACGACACGCGACGCGCCATATTACTCGCGAGACGGACGCGTACTCCGAGATCGGTACCACACGACGCCCAACGCGACACATCACTCGCGAGACGGACGCGTACTCCGAGATCGGTGCGTATCCCAGGCCGGACGCGTTGGCCTCGTATTCGCGCGACGACGCGGCACTTCGCGAGGCACCGCCGGGATCCTTTCGCGCGTCACCGTTGACTCTCGCACTGGAAGCGCGGCAGAAAACGCGGGAGCCGACTCGCGATTCTAGAAGCTGCCGATGGCGGTTCCTCGCTGCTTGAGACATTTTGAATCGCGATCGTAGGATGTTAGTCGCGGCGAGCCAATCAGCGGCCGAGTTCCGTAACGGTCAAGCGTCCCCTTTGTGCGCATGCTCAATCTGCATTGCGCATGACCGAGTAATGGCGCGAAAATATGAAAGGGAAAACGGATAAAGGCTCGATTGCAATATTTACAATAGAGTCCAATCCCTTTAGATGCGTTAAATGTGCAATTAGACCTTGCGAAAAATTAATGAATAACAGAAAAATACGAATAAAATAAACGGGATAATTATTTAAAGCAGAAATCAATTTAGAAATGTTTAAAAAATGATAGAAATAGTCATATAAAGGAGTTATTATTTTCATAATGTAAAAATAAGGTTAAAAAACATATTCGATGTATGTTAGACATAGTCGTCCATATAATGAATGTGATAATTTCATACGGGTTTACGGATATCAGCAACTAGGAGAAATATCGAGACACATGCTAGAAATTAAATTCGAAACTTGCTGATTTATTATTTATCTTTATTTCGCAAACTATTTGAATCACGTAATTCATTTGAATCCATGTGAATTCCATAGTAGCTACTGAAGTGTCGTTTTCTTACCGTGAATGCACTCGTTAAATACATTTACTTCTAATGTACACGATCAATGTTAATGTATAATTCTATGTAAAAAATATGATATATAAATACCGTTTAAATAGTCAGAGATAACAGTAACAATAAATTTACTTATAATATAAATTATGCTACGCCTTATACCTTATGTATACTATATCTTCATCATTGTCATTAATACTTTAGACTCTACGTATAATATGTGTTACATCCATGTACTTTGTCTCTGTATTTTGCTACAATATTCGTCATGCGCTAAGTGAATTACAATAATGGCAATCGTCACGTCTTTTTAAGGTAACATTTCAACATATGAAGGAAATGCTTTCTTCTTCTGAGAGATTCCAGAAAGACGATCTTCTTTTTACCTTAATTAATCTATATTAATCACGCATTAATTAAACAATATTACGAATATTAAAATTTATTTAAAGGAACGAAGCACTGGGACGTAACAATATTATTTTAATAATACTTTATGAGGATTTACGTAACGACTGGAAAAAAATGTATTATAATTTATGACTTTCTTATATCGTGGTTTAGTATACATTGATTCAATAGGATCACTAAAACATGGCTGTTGACATCAGACATAAAAAATCTATTGGTGTATTATATGTATAAGCACTCTCCTCTTTCATGCCAAGTTAACTAAAGTATGGTCGCGTAATAATTAATAAAATATCTAATTAGTACAAATCGGGACATTCAATTTAATATAAAAATTTAGAACACGATGTTTTTACGCCCAATTTCACCAAAAATACGGTAGCATCAAGCCGATTACATAAAATTACCGATAATTACCGATAAAGTATTACAGCAAGTCCAATAAAAAAATCTTTCTTCAGAATATGTCTTTCGCTCTATCGTAAACTTTACTCAGCAGCATAAGATCTGGAATTCTAACGAAGCCGCTTTCACTTCTACATTGCACCAACTAGCCAGTTATTATCAGTGATATTGCCAGTAATAGAAGTCTAATAAGGTGGTGGTTGATGCTGGTAGGAATGTTGCGGCGGTTGACTCAAGTGTCTTTGTAGATGCGTCACGAGTTGAGGCGTTGGTTGTTGGCCACCACCAGCACCTTGCTGCTGCTGCTGCTGCTGTTGAGCGGCCTGCTGCTGCTGCTGCTGTGCCTGTTGCTGCTGCTGCTGCATGGCCAACATCTGTTGCCTCATACGCTGCTGATTGATCGCTTGTTGCTATATAAAAGCAAAGAGAATTAATTAACGATAATTCGCCAATTCTTTATCGCGCTTCCGCGATATATCTTTCAGAGGCATACCTGTTGCTGGAATGCCTGCTGATTTTGCTGCAAGTTGACATTAGCCGTGCCTACCCCTGTCACACCTACCGCACCTGGTTTTCCAGCGGATTGTCGGTACGGAGGAGCAGGTTGGTTCTGAACACCACCACCCATTGGTCCCATTGCATTCATTGTTACGTTTGGTGCCTGAATGAATAAGATGTATTTTTTAATAGTTATTAAATTTGAAATACAATTATTACGTCTATTTCATGTTTTAATGATAATAACGTTATCTTATATCAGTCACAGATAGAAAGTATAGAAGTAAGAACTGTGATACAACAATGAATTTTCTTCTAAAGAACACTAGCAACAAACAACAAACAACAGTTAGTAGGAAAGTTAATTGGGAAAAATGAAAGTATCAAGTCGCATTGCTGATGTCAAATTGATGAAAAACTTTCGAATGACACTTCTGTAAAATTTAAATTTGATGGCTTAGCGCAGTTTACTTCCGAGGCATTAAATAAAAATTAGAAAGTGTAGTATAAAAATAATGGGCCAAATTAAGTTTAATGTTAGATATATTAAGAATATATTCTGAAACACACCTGTAAATATGGCGGCCTCGCAGCGCCAGGCTGCATTCTTTGTTGCGGCATATATTCCTGTCCCCTTTGCGGACCCATCATTTGCTGCTGATTAGGGAACATCATATTTTGTTGTTGATTCAAGATGCCTTGTTGCTGCTGCTGCTGCTGTTGTTGCTGCTGTTGAAGTAACTGCTGCTGCTGCTGCTGCTGCTGCGTTTGCTGTGGTGTCTGCTGCTGTTGTTGCTGCTGCTGCTGCTGTATCATTTGTTGCCCACCGTATCCCGCATAATTTTGATTCATACCTGCAGAAGAAAAGTTATTTAAAGGCTTCTATTTACGGTCAATTCGTCTTAAATACTTTTTGAAACACTTCTCAGTCAGCAAAAGGATCTGTATAGCATTCGTACGGATTATTTTTTGGCTAAATAGTTTTTGTACTCGAGATGACCATAAATATAAGAACAAGCCTTGGTGTGCACTCAGTGTGTGCACTAGTGCAAGATGCCAAATTCGCTATAAGACTTAAAACTAATTGATTACTAGAAAATATTCGGAAGAAAATTAAACAGTAATTACGACACTGCTTCTTTCTGCTAAATTCTTGGCTGTTCAGTATACTGAGACTTTTTCTAATTTATACCTTGTTGAATTCCAGCGTATATCCCTTGCTGCTGCTGCTGTTGCTGCTGCTGCTGCTGCGCCGCAAACATGCCTTGTTGTGGATTTATGCCAGGAGCTCCGTGCTGCGCTCTCAATTGCTGCCTGATGAATTGATGCCTCTGCATTCCTTGGAACGCGCCGGGCCCGGCAACCGGCGTGGCGTTCGGCGGTTGTTGCTGCGAGCCCATGAATTGATTAGACGGCAATCGTAAGCGTAACATATTGGACAGAGCCTGTTTGGACTGATTGTTCATCCCCGGTCTCTCGTAGCGCGGTCCGCCGACCGGTGCAGGCGGCAACTGTTGACCATATCCGTACTGCTGCGCGGGTGTGTGAGTTTGCTGATTACTGTACCATTGCTGTTGGGGTTGTGGGGGTTGTCCAGTGAACATTCCAGGCTGTTGCGCAACAGGCGCTTGTTGATTACCGAATGCCATTTGTTGCAATTGAGATGGCGGTTGCTGTTAATTACAAAAGGAAAGAAATGTAACGACGACGGCTTTGCGCTTCCCCGTTATGTCATCGAACAGTTAAGCTCACCTGCATCTGCTGCGATATAGGTGTTGTAGGCGTAGCGGCACCTTTCGTTCGTCTGTTATGTCGCTTATTTTTCATAGCTTTTCCTTTACCATTAGTATTCGCATTACCGACTCCGGCGCTACCGACACTACCGCCGACTCGACCTGGCGAATCGATGCTCATTGGAGTGTCGGCTTTGCCAGGCTCCGACTCCTTCTTGTCCGGCTCCAGATCTTCCGGTGGCAACGGAGGTGGATCCAGATAATGGCTGGCCGAACGATTTTGACTGTGCGTGTGATAGCGCAACAGTTTGTACGCGTTCTGATACGTGAGCGGTTTGCGTTCCAGTCGGACAGCTCGGAACCAAGCCCAGGAAAGCGGCGCAGGATTTTTATGTCCTTCTAAGATTTCCCACGCCGACACTCTTTGAGAATCGCATACTTGCAGCCCCTAAATTTAAATGTAACACGTTATACACTTTTGCACGTTGTTAACTCTACGTTTTTCAGCAATAACAGACGAAAATACTACTCTAAATATTGCATAGAAAGTGAAACAAATACTTTTCGAAAAATCAACTCAAATGTACCTGCTTCTTGTCGATGCTGTCGAATCCAGCGATCTTGTTGCCCTTAGTGTCGGTCAGACATCCAACGGGTTCGCACGTAATAACTTCCATAGACAGCTTCGGTAGCGGTAGAAGTTGTCTTACGAAACGAATGCTCGAGGAATTTCTGTCGCCCAGTTCTTTCTTCAATTTTTTCATTAGATTTTGGTAGTGCTTTTTATTCTCGTCTTTCTCGGATTGCGAATCTGACACTAGCGTGGAGTGAATTAGCGTTGCCAGCATATCTATCACGGTGGTAAATAACTCTGCATTATTATTCAAGTCTATAACACCGTAGCTGACCAACTGAACCAGCAGAATCGCCCAGTCTGTTGTAGCAGTCGTGTTTCTTTGTATCGTATCGAACACACCTCCAACGAGGCTGAATCTTAACTGTAACGCGTCTTGTAACACCTCTCTGGTCTTAGGATCTTCGGAACCGATGTGCTTCTCCTCCTTGCTAGTATTTAAAAATTGCGAGAGTTGCGAATGTAGAGACGTCAGTAAACCCTCTCTTTGATCATCCTGACCTTTCAGACACGTAAGTACAAGCGACAGAAATGGCTGGTGATTGAACAGCGAAGGCGACTTGGATCTACCTCTCTCGCGACCTGCTGTTTTCGACCAATTACCCGACTCTAACACCTGCCCCGCCACTTTTAGCACTCTGCCCTGCACTGCACTCGGCAGCTTGGAAACCAATGGAGCCACTAACCATATGGAACCCGACCTTTTATCAGGTTTATTACTTAAGGTATTGTTCAACTGAAAAACGTCGATCGCAGCCTTCGCGACTGTGTCCAACCATTGAGAAAGTTCACTGGAGCCTGGCGCGAATTGCTTGTACATAAGCTGCAAATCCAGCCAGGACATCCTTAGACTCCATTGCTCCAAATTCTCCAAGATATTCGTAATATGTGTCTTCTGATCGATGAAGGCTTCGGTTGGTGTTTCGGGATAGCAGATCATGTGTAACAATTTTTGGGCTTGCCGTGGCGTAAGCATATTGTCCAGCAGCATGTCCTGATGACAAAGCTCCTCCGGATTTTGTAAGCATCTCTCCAGCACCCATTCTTGGCTGCAGATCTGACGCAAAACGTGATGGGCGAAGTCGGAAAACCCCTTGACGTTTTCCGTCGTCATGCCGGCGCTGCTACTGGACGACGACATGGCCAGGTCGAGGCCAAGATCATCGCCGCCTCCTAAGATATCGCTGGTTCCCAAAATATGGCTAATTGACAGTTCGCCGGGTCCGCTACTGCTCACGCCAACTCCGACTCCGACGCTGGCCGGACCACCTCCTTTACTGGAATGACTCAAGGGTATATCGACTTTCTTCGGTGGCTGCTTGGCGGCCGTGGCATCTCCCACGACTAATATAGCCTTCAGCACCGCGAGCACCGGCCCTACTCTTATGTTATTATGCGCGGCTGCCAACAAGTGTCTATCGCAACTCAATTTTATGCTATAACCCCTTGAGTTTCCACTTGGAAGCGGATGAGGACTCGTACTGACCGAATACAAAGCCGGCTGCGGACACTCAACAGTTTTGAAAAGTCTCAGTAACAAATGGCAAGTCAAACGTGCACCTGCTTCCACTTCGATATCAATGTCCCCGCGACCGTCGTTGCAAGTTTTTACCAAGGATGGTAGTGCTATGTGCACGACAAAATCTTCCAAGGAGAAACAGTGCCTTGCTGTAAGTACAATAATAAGCTGTTAATAAATTAACAAACGTGACATATTTAATAAATGCAAAATGTATCTCACTTACCAATTAGAATTGAGGTAAATATAGCTAGAGAATTGTGTATACTTAAATCCTGTACGTCAACTTGATTTAACACGTCGATGTAGAAAGCTGAGCTATTGGAGGAGCAACAAAGTGCCATAAGTACTCCCAGCCATTCAGCATTGAGAGCATTGCAACAGGCAGTCAATTCTGCGCAAGTTATAGCAATATCGTTCAGTTTATCGTTATCCGTCTCGCTGCAAACCGCAACAATCGCGTTACAAACGAAACTATAACGATTGGCCGGAGTCTCATTCAACTGTCTCGCCCATTGCGGTTCAATCTTTCCGCCCCTTCGCGGACTGGTGAAGACATCCACCATAAATTGCGAGTTGTAAACGTGACTCGAAGGCGTCGGCTGCAACGTACTGTAGAGAGCAGCTCGTATTTTCGGATACGCGTTGCTAAACGCCTCCACCCCGTGCGATTTCGTCTTCAAGAGAGAACAGGTCGAATATAAGTCATATAAATGCGCTAACACGCATCGTTCGGCGGAACTACAGTCGCTCGGATTTGACACGTGTTTCACCACTTTGCAGAGTAAATCAAATACCGCTGTCGTCTGCTCGGGTGACACTGTAACATTTTTTTATATTAATGTACGTAGAAAACTTCTAAACATACGTGTGAGATAACGATTAAGACTTACACAATAAACAGCAGTGATATCTTCTTAACACGCCAACTACGTATAAACTTAGATTTGTAGTGTAACTTCGAACCAATTGACTATTTCTAACTGTTAATTGTGCCTCCACTTCCGGCAACTCTTTCAGGATTTGTATACAAACGTCAATTAGGCCGTATATATTTAATGCCAGCTCCATCAGATCGAAGAGAAAGGCTACGTGTTCGTGAACTGGCAAGTAAGATGAGCCAGCTAGTGCAAACGTGTTCAACATCTCTATCACTTGCGTTGCACACTGCCACGTTACGACATGCTGATCGAAATAACTTAGATTTTGAAACTTCATAGTGACGGCCTCAAAATTGAATTCACTTCGAGAATGTTTCTTTACTTTGCCCCCTTCGGCAACGTCAATACTGAATTTCTTGCCAAACAATTTACACACTTCTTTAGTCATTTTTTTAACAACGTGCCTGGCCTCGTCTCTGACACGTCCAACACCATAAAGTAACACATGCCGCTGATTGCAATCGTGCTGACTACACGTCTCGTCCTGTAGACACATATCAATAGATTAAATGATATTTATAAATTGTATGTGGAAGAATTTGACAATATTTAATATTACGGCAAATGTTTAAAATCTGCATCTAACGATCCCGTCAAAATTTACAAGATACTCGTTTAAATCATTTGATAGAAAAATATATTTAAAAAATTACTTGTGGCAGAGGAAAGTGAGTGGTGTACAATAAATGTCTGCTGTGACTCGACGGCATTTTGGAATCGAGACTTTCATGACCGCCGTGGCCGGTCAGCGCATCCTCTTTAGGGCTATCTGGCGCGTCCATGCTATTTTGTTGATCTTCTTTAATGTGCTGCAATATCTTATCTAAATCGTCGTCGATTTTACTATCATCATAATCCATAGTACGTCCATGATCCGGCACTTCCAATTTGGTCGACTTTAAATCTATACCCGGGAAGAGACTGTCTTCATCGATCGGCTCTCTATTGCTAGGTGTTCCGGGTTTGCTAGCTACGGGACCTAATTAAAGTAAAATAATTTCACAATTAATTAAACAAATTTATCAAACTTTCTAAGATACAATCTCAAATTACAATTATATCTTTACAAACGACTGAAATAATTAAATAATTTGAATTCTTTTATATACATATCTCTTTACCTTGTATAAGATCACCTCTCGAAATAAGAGTGCACATGTACGCATCGTGCGAGAAAACGTCATGCCTTATCAATTCTGAGAACAGGTGGACTAAATTTGTAAATTGAGCCTTAGATTGAGTCGAGGTATTATCGAGCACCGGCGCGTCCACGTCCAAGAATTTCATAAGCAACGGTTGGAAGATCGGAAGCACAGGCGGACTCCCATTGCTACACGTGCTGTCCTTGTCGTCGTTATCGTTAGTCTCGCCAGTAGCTTCGCTCTGCCTCTTCTCGAGAAGTTTGGCAACCGCCATCGCCCTATGTTCCCCCCAACGTTCGGCACTCACAGCCCACTCGCACAGAATTTCAACTACCGCTGAATCCTGCTGCGGATTGTACTCCGTTTTCGCGTCGCGCTCGCTAGAATTGTCTTTCGGAGGTGGCGTGAAGATTTTTGCGTACAGGGTGTCGAGCGAATTGGAGGCGTCCATTTTGTCAAAACTGTGCCGGTCTAGGGCGTCCAATGCGGCTAACACCTTGGTAGTGGTCGTCCCAGCGCTGCTCTGCTGCCACTTGTCGCACGACCATCTACCTTCCGCTGCCTGGGATCGAGCCCTTATGTTTTCCTGCGCGACCCGCAGCTGTTTCATCGTAGGATTGCCAGAACTCGCGGGTGGACACGGCAAAGCTGCTGGCGGACATGGCAAGTAGTCTAGAGGCGATCCATTCAACACTGACGGTGCCTTTCCCTCGCCAACACTGTTCCAGACCAACGCAGTGGGACACTCCAATGTTATGACCTGAAAAATTCGATTAATCTCTTATGTCCATTTCTACCAATAAAGTTCAACTGTGATTTCAGTTTAAAATACTTTTTCCTAGTTTCTGGAATTGGAGAAAGATACAAACTTAGTTGAACCGGAATTAAAATCAATCTGCACTGATGGAAATGGGCATTAATCACGCAATACTATCGATGTGACAAATTCTTATTTCTTAGAACAAGACTATTTTTTACCTGTATTATAGTGGCTAAACTGTAAATTATATCTCTGTGGTGTGCGCAAGTCAAGTAATCGTTGAAAGCAACTGTCAGGAGATTCAATGGTCCTTGGACAGCGACAGTAGTGTCCTTGTTACCATTGGCTTCGTTCTTAGCGACGGACGGACTCTGCGGACTGCTGTTGCTCTCAACATTATTGCACATGTGCGCCAGTTTACGGCAGCACAAGTATGCCAGTCGCCTGGCCAGCAGCTCGGACTGTATAAACTCCTCCAGGTATTGCAGAGCCAACGGCAATAGGAGCTTCAATATGCCGTCTTCCGAGGGAGAGGACCTAATCTTATCCAGCAATTCGAGGATCCACTGTAGCAATTCTTGCCTGTCCAACAGGCCTTCCTCAAACATATATTTGGCCAATTGTATACAGTAATGCCATTGCTTGAGCGCCAGCTTGTGCTCCTCGTTCATCGTACTGCCTGTCGTCGACTGACCGCTCGAAGTAGGTGTGGGTGGTTGATTATTGGCGGAGCCGTTGCTTGCGTTATTGCTCGCGCTGCTATTAGTAACACCATTATTGTTGCTATTGTTGTTGCTGCTGCTGCTAGTGTTGTTGCTGCTAGCGTTGTTGTTGTTGCTGCTGCTGCCGCTGCTACTGTTGTTGTTGTTACTGCTGCTGCTACCGCTGTTGTTCGTCCCGGTAGTCCCGTTGCTGTTGCAGGAACTGTTTGTTGTGCTATTATTGTTACTGGTGCTAGCCGCATGATTGCCCATATGATAGTACTCCTGCAGTTTGGACAACTGATCCTTCAGAAATTTTATGAGGGTGCCCGTCCACTCTGCCAGAGAAGAACAATCACATCTTTATGGCAGTCTTCGAGATAGAAAAATATATAATAAAACTCGTAAGTCAGTATTACTTTTGGCCTTTGTTCTATTGTTTGTATTTGTACAAAACGAGCATGTTGTTACTGTCTTAGGATTCATAAGGCTCTGACGCAAAATTACAATTCAAAATAATAAAGGATGCAGGAGCCAAGACAGGATGTTAGTGCCTAAATGATTCTAATTTTTTAATTGTAAAAAGTTTACCTCAGCCAGGGTTCGAACCTGGACCTCCCTCTAGACCGCCCTAGACCTAGACGTCCGTCTAGAGGCCTTGGCTGAGGTAAATTTTTGCAATAACTTTAAGAATTAGAATCGTTTAGACACTAACATTCTGTCTTGGCTCATATGTCCTTTATTCCTGCAAAATGAGAAAGATATATTTTAATTACGATAAAAAGGATATAATTTTGAATAATTTAGTAAATGTACTACACTAATATCAATATACATTTGTTATCTCTGCATTTTTCTCAATTTCATTAGAATCAACGACAGCTTTCCGACAAAGTAAAATTGTGACCGTTACCTGTGGTCGGGTCGGGCAGCTGACGCTTCTTTATCTTGGCCTCCGAGACCGCGACCGTGTAAGCCGAGCTGAGCTTGATGAACCAAGCCGCCCGGAGCATCGGCACCTGATACTCGCAGAGCATCATGAAGATCTCCTCCTTCTTATTGAAATTCGGCGCCTTCTTTGCAAGAGCGACCAGGGGTTTGCTGCCCGAGAGATCCTTGAACCAGGCCTCGATGCCGTTCTTGGTCCTGGCGGTCACCGGCCAGAAGTTGTCCTTGGGATTGATCTGCTGCCTCTTCCTGCCGGTGTCGGGCATCGTCGCGAGCTCCTCCTTCTTGGCGAGGATCGCGTTGAAGTACGCGCCGACCTTGGCGGCGGTGACGTTGTAGTTCCTGCCCGTGCCGGACTCATCCGTCAGCTGGGTCGTGGTGGCCATGAAGCCATGTTTGACGTTGGTCAGCGACAGCTCGTCCTCCTTCTGCTTGAGCTCCTGCGGGTAGACATCCGGGGGACCCAGCCTCGGCCTCTTGAGCGGCCTCTTCTCGTACAGTATTCCCATCATGGTACAATTGGACGCGAGGGGGTACGGTCGTTAAGAGACGCCGATCGCGGGCATCGCCGGGCCGACGCGGACGCGGACGCGAACCGGGCCCGTGCTTCGGGCCCCGTGTCAGTTGAACGAGCACGCGCAACGTCCGTCTGCCGACGTCGCAGTCTCTATTTACATTTGCGCGTAATCATCACGATGACAATGGCATTCGCTTCGCAATCAACACTGCCAATGTCACCGCGCCACCGCGGCATAGTGCATCGCCGAGGTGCGCGCGTGCATGACCGATGGTTTCCAAGTTCAGCGGGAGCGAGATGATCTACATTATTGCACCGCTCGCTCGTCTCTCCTATCAGTTTTCTTACCCTCGATATCTACGAACGCGCGCGTATACAGATACGACTTATCTCGCAGGAAGAACCACAGCTGTTTCTGGTATTCCAGACCGTCCCCAGCTGGGTGTCCACATTCAGTCCGATTCATAAGGTCTATTCGCGTCGCATGCCTGTAGTAGGAGTCTGGACAGAAATATCATTCATTTCATTGGTTTCGACAAAATATGGCAGAACCAATAAGATGTCTCGCATTTGTACACTGATGCGTCAAGCCTCGTCTACATAGAAGTCGTAAAGTCGTAGTCGTAAGAATAGTCGACTATGATTGGTCAATTCTTATGTGTCTGACGGAATTGACCAATCGCAGTCGATTATTCTTACGACTACGACCATTGTAGACAGAACCGAGAATCATTGTAGCGGAGGCTTTAGTCCCAGTCTACAATAGAGATTTAAGCCCTAAG